AAGAAGTTCAATATTAACTCCTACACTAATATCCTCTAAAAATCTAGAACTATCATTAAGATAGTTAATAATAAGAAGGACTGACTACAATAAGAAGGACTGACTTAATTTGAACACATACACAATAGAGACAAATGCCTTTGAGGGCCAGAAGTGAGTTTAAAATTTTATGTGACATGGAACTGCAATTTAAAATTGCCTGTAATGGTAAAATTTTGTTATGTATATTTTACAAATTTTTAAAATCATTTGAAATTTGCCTCCAAATCCTGATTTCCCCTGAAAACATACACACACACACACACACACACACACACACACACACGCCGATTTGACTACATTAAAGAACATGAATCCATTAAATTGAACATTTTTTTAAAAATACTTTTAGCTGGAGATGGACACGATACTTTATTTATATGTAGTGCTAAGGATGGAACCCAGTGCTAGGCAAGCACTATACCACTGAACCACAACTCCAGCACCTAAACTGAACATATTTAAATTTTAAGTAGTTGAAAACTTTTAGGGGCTGGGGATGTGGCTCAAGCGGTAGCGCGCTCGCCTGGCATGCGTGCGGCCCGGGTTCGATCCTCAGCACCACATACCAACAAAGATGTTGTGTCGGCCGAGAACTAAAAAATAAATATTAAAAATTCTCTCTCTCTCTCTCACTCTCTCAATAAAGAAAAAAAGAAAAAAAAAGAAAACTTTTAGTGATGTGAATTAAAAGCTTTAAGGAAGGTGTTTATTGATATTTTCCATATCCAAGAAGGACATAGGCAAATAAAAAAAAAAACTGCAGCAAAGGAGATTTAGTTCTGACATAATTCTAACTAGAAAAGTAATTAAATTCTATAATAAGATATCACACAGATCTATACCCTTAGTAATACAATAGGATAACTACCTTGAAAGGGTTAGATGCAACTTGTAGGAAAAATTCTAATAAACTGGAGTAGGGGTTGTGGCTCAGTGGCAGAGTGCTTGCCTAGCACATGTGAGGCACTGGGTTTGATTCTCAGCACCACATAAAAAAATATACAAAAGTATTGTGTCCATCTGCAACTATAAAATACTTTTAAAAAATTCAAGGGGCTGGGGTTGTGGCTCAGTGATAGAGCGCTTGCCTAGCATGTGTGAGGCCCTGGGTTCAATTCTCAGCACCGGATATAAATAAATAAATAAAATAGAGTTTCATCAACATCTAAAAAAATATTTTTTAAAAATTCAAATAAACTATAGAGAATCTCTATAAAGCCGGCTTCCAGTTTTAGAATTCCGGGTTCTTTATCCCAAGCCCACAGTGTCTGCAAGAAATTTTACCTATAAAAAGTTACACTAAGGGCTGCGGCTGGGACTCAGGGGTAGTGCACTTGCCTGGCATGTGTGAGGTACTGGGTTCAATTCTCAGCACCACATATAAATAAATAAAGGTCTATCAACAACTAAAAAATATATGTTAAAAAAAAAGTTATACTAATCTACAAGTCATTTCAGTTTGGCTTTTATATATCACGGTTAGTCTGCCCCACACATCTACTCCCTCARGAACTGAAAATTGACCATCTCTGTTATGAAACAGTTCCACCAATTTCCAGCAATATCACTGGCCTCAAAATATAAACACTACAAATGAAAAGAATACTTGGTTCTAAATTAAACAAATAGAAATACATACACGACTTTGTCAACCTTAGCCAATGATTTTTGTGTTAACGGGGAAGATAATTTTCAGATCCAAAGCATTCAATTTTTTCAAAAATGACAAAAAAATAATTTTTACTCTTGGGGAAAAAAGAGCATCATCTTTCAAATCTGAGCTCCATTTTGGAAGACTCCTGTTCATTTTAAAACAATGATCTTGGACTGGGGTTGTAAMTCAGTGGTAGCATGTTTGCCTGATACAAGTGAGGCACTGGTTTCAATCCTCAGCACCACATAAAAATAAGTAAATAAACAAGCAAAGGTATTGTGTCCGTCTACAACTAAGAAAAAATAAAAATAAAAAGTAATTTAAAAAATGATCTTTAACAGTGATCAGACAAGTGAATAATTATTTATTATAACCCAAAACCCAGCATTTATAAAGTCACAGGGAAGTTAATCATCACCAATTCAACAGGTAACCACTACAGCACAGCAAGCTGAGTGATTCTTCCCAACCTGTATTAGGGCTATCTGGACAGTTGTTAGACATTAAATGATGCATTCAAGCAATACAATTCTAGACTCCAGATATTTACTTCAGTATAGCACATACACATATTTTGATCAAGTATGCATGCATATCTGTATTTCACTAGATTTTATTAATTATAATGGGTGTTTGTTTAAACAAATCTGTCAAGATGAATTTACAAAAGTCAACACAGGAATAAAAGTATAATACTGGGGCTGGGATTGTGGCTCAGCTGTAGAGCACTCATCTAGCACATGTGAAGCCTTGGGTTCGATCCTCAGCACCACATAAAAATAAATAAACAAAATAACGGTATTGTGTCCAACTACTTCTAAAAAATAAATATTTAAAAAAAATTTTTTTTTAAGTATAATACTGGATTATGGAGCTAACAAGCTCTCCTAAGAAAGAAAACAAAGACAGCCTTCCTAATTTCTTAAAGAACATTCTTTCTACAGCCAAAAACTAAGGTAATGTGACTCAAAGTTGAATTATCTCTTCATTGCCTAGATTCCTAAAAGGCCACTGACTTCCAACTGCTTTCAAATCAGAACTCAGAATGAGAGGATTTACCTCAGTGTTAGACTACTTGCCTAGAATGCTTAAAGCCCTGGGTTGGATACCCAGCAATGCCAAAAAAATAACACTAAGAAAACATTTTTTAATGGCTCACACCTTGCTTCAGAAAGGTATCTTTGTGTTTACACAGAGATAAATGTCATCAATATACATACGACTTCAAGTCTTTGAGATTAATCTTTTCTTTTTTTATTTAAAGACTCAAACAGAATTTTTACAGCCCAACTGTTTTTATTTTCTTTTCCATACCATGGCCTTACCTATCTCCTCACTTTTCACAACACCTAAAAACAATCAATCATATATTAAATATACACACCTCAAGCACATAAAATTCATTACACTAGTTTTGTAGCTATAATAATTGTACTAACAAACACTGACTTTAAAGAACTAAAAACTTATTAGGGCAGCATTTAGATGGTTCAATTCACCAGGGGGTGGGGAGATAAATCAATCCTCCCCTACCCAACAGGCAGCTACAGTATGCCAAGTTTTCTATACTAAACTAGTGTAACAAGGAAGAAAGTATGATTTTACTTCTAAATTTCACCAGAGTAATAGCTCTTCTCAGTGTGTTCAATAACCCTAACAATCTCTACTTAAACATTACAGGTTGGATGTCAGAAATCTATAGTAGACTACATTCCCTATCTGAGATCATCTGGGCATAAAAGACACAAATAGAGATGGCAAATACTTATTTATTTAATTCTAAAGCCTATCTCCTGAATTCATTGGAAGCCTCAAAGAGTTTTCTAAACATCAAGAAACTCAGTCCCACTCTTGCTATGGCTGGCTTTAAATAATGATAAAATAACAGAACCCACTGAAGATGCTGCAAGAAAATAAAAATTTACACATCACCTTTGGTTTGGCCACATCTAGAAAGGATCCCATTTACAAATGAGCATCATCCAGAGTAGGTGAGGAGTGGGATAAAAACCATCGTTCAGCCCTCTTTTCTGGCACTGACTGAGGCATTCGTTGGAAGTGAARATAAAGGGGAGTTTGGTTGTGGAAGTGATGCCAAGAGAAACAAGATTCCACATGTCAGGAGACTGAATGCCCCACACAGAGCAAAGGGCACTCACCCCGTTGCTTTTGGCCCAAAGAAAGATTAGTTGCTTCACCTGAAAGCCTCTCAAAGGAAGTCTAATTGTGTCCACTCCCTCCCTCACCCTGAGTGAACTCAACAACCCCTACTCACAGAACAGGGGGGAAGCTTTGCTTATCAAAAATAGCAAGTGCTGCTTCCAAAGCCAAGAAACACTCCTTTACTGAGATAGTCTTCTGCCCCAATTCAGTCTTCTATAACCTAACTACAAGCCCAAAATACTTGGTTCCCAGCCTACCTAAACTTCTCCATTTTCTCAAAGGTCTATCAACCCCGCTTTCTTTCAAATAAGCTCTTCTCCACTCTCCGTATTCTGGAGGCCTTTCTCAAAATTCCCTTTGCGCAGGGCTCCAGTTCTTTCAGAAAGTTCCTTCTCCCAGGATCATCTCCTTTCTCCCACTTTTCCTAAGGTTCTGCCCAGATGCCGTCCCAGGTTTAACACTCCGGGCTCCTCTATTTGTAGATTCACTACCAGATCCCACTCTTCCCTGGCACAACTCTTCGGAAAGTCATCTCTCCCACCAAAATCATTTATTTCCCCAAAACATTTTTTCCCTTATCTCTCCTCGGATAGAGACAGACCCACATACAATTATCTGTTCTCAACTCCTAACTCCCAACTCTCTTCCATCTCCCAGGTTCGTCCACAATATTTAACAAGCCTCCCTAGAGTTTCCCCCCTAATTCTCGGCCTCAGCCCCTAACTTCAACTACAGTCTTTTACCCACTTTCCAGATCCAGATTTTCTGTGCTTTTTACTCTCAGCCAGCACCACAAGCCTTCCCTCCCAGGGTTACCCACTTATGCGTCTATGGCCAAACCTTTTTCCCTCTTCCACCTTCCTCGGGCCCTAATTCTCCGCAGAACCTAGTGAACAACCCACCCCGCGCCATCTCCTCGGCCTCCCCGCAGCCTCCGTGGCCCCTAACTCTCCTTTAGCTCCGCTCACCCCCTAATTTCACCCCATGCCCGCCGGGGCTCCCCGACTCGCCCTCCCCGCCCGAAGAAAGAGGTCCACCTCACTGCTCGCCTGGCCCGCCCTGCCGCCAGGCTCGAGTGTCCCTTCCCTTCCCTCGGGGCCCCGAGGCCGCTGCCAGCGATGGCGCGGCGGGGCCGGCTCACCAGTTGGTCATGTCCAGGAAGAAGGCGCAGCCGGCCGGGTTGAGCTGGAAGCCAAGCAGCCGCTGGAACTCGGAGATGAGCACGTCCTTGTCGGTGGTGCCCAAACAGCTGAACTTCTGCATCAGCTCCGGGTCCAGATCCACGTCCATGCCCTCCATGGCGGGGGCCGGACACCCGCTTCCCCGCCTCCTCACTACCGAGCCGCCGCCGCGCCGCCAGGCCCGGGAACCGGGAGGGGGCCCGTTGCTAGCCGGCGCCGCGACCCCGCTCCTCTGAGGTAGGCCCCGGGCCTCTCACCGCCTCATAGGGGTAAACTCACTCAGCCACTCACACTCCGGCTCCCCCCCCTCCCACCCCCCCCAACGCCGCCACCTCCGCCGCTACCGCCTCTCGCTTCTCCGCCGCCTCCGCCTCCTCCCGCGCCGCGCCCACTGCGCACGCGCCGCCCCTTAGGCCCCGCCCCTTCCTTTCCTGAAGGACCACCCCTCAGTGGCGTCACAACCCCGTGACGTATCCCGCGTGACCTCACCGCGGCGGAGCGAGGGGGCGGGAAGGGGGAAGGAGGAAAGGGCTGKCCGGGAGGCAAGGGTGGGCTCTAGGCCCAACCTCCTCCTCGCCGCGTCCCCACCCTCAAGGGGCGGAGTAAACGCCCAGGCTTGTGGGGAGGAGCTCGGGTATCTTTGTCTCCGACTACCCCACCATTTTGCAGGTGAGGAAACTTGAACTCCAGGCAGGGTACGGACTATGGCAAGGTCAAGTAACAAAGTGCACACTCAGGGACCGGCCTTCCCAGCCAGAGGTCTGTCCCTCGYTCTAGAAAGACTTGTTTCTAGAGCCGCTTTCCCAAAAGGAGGTTGCCGTAAATCCTTGGTTCCCGGCCACCCTGGAGATGACTACTAGGGTTTTATCGGTTTTATCGGTGCTGTTTGTTATGCAACAGCATCTTGTCTCCAGAAAATAAAAGAGTCCTCAATACAAACATCAGTCGCAGGTCCAGACAACGCCACCCATTCCGTCAGAACCAGCTCTTTAAAAATACAGGTTTAAGTCATGAGAATTTGGAAAAACTTGTTCTGTCGTTACAATCCAGGGCAAGTGTATATGGTACACTTAACGTGACCAAGATCCCATTTCAAGATCAAAGAATGAGAAAGAAGTTTAGAGACTTTCTAACCCTTCTGTGTTTTATTTTGAGGTTTTTGATTTTTGTTTTGTTTTGGTTTGGTTTTTGGTACCAGTGATTGAACCCTAGGGTGCTTAATCACTGAGCCACTGTTTTTGTTGTTGTTGTTGTTGTTGTTTTTCGTTTTTGTTTTAATTTTGAAACGTCTGGCTAAATTGCTTCAGGCCTCACTAAGTTGCTGAGGCTGGCTTTGAACTTGCGATGCTCCAGAGACTCTGGAATTACAGGTGTGTGCCACCATGCCTGACTAACAAGTGTTTTTAAAACATCACTTGTTGGCAAATATTGCTAWGTCAGGGTTTGCGGGAGAGGAATGAATAAGAAATGATCTGCCTTCAAGTAGCTTTCTGTTTAGTATACAAATATGGCAAGGGAAATCAAGAAAGTTTATATGCCTTTTCCAAAAATACAGTGCAAAAAAAACTAGAACCCAGCTGAAGTATGGTTTCTAACAAGGTCAACAAAAGACAGGGCTGGGAGAAGTGACCAATAGTGTCTGGGGTGCCAGGATGCTTAGGAAAGGGAATACATTCTACCTCTTCCGTCTCAGTATGAAATAAGTAAAATAAAATAGCTTTGTCTACTTGGATACGGTGGCTCACACCTGTAATCCCAACAATTTGGAAGGCTGAGGCAGGAGGATCAGAAATTCATGGTCAACCTCAGCAATTTAGTGAGGCACTAAGCAACTTAGTGAGACCTCCATCTTAAAATTAAAAAATAAGAGCTGGGGATATAACTCAGGTGGTAAAGTGCTTGCCTTGCATGCACAAGGCCCTGGGTTCAATCCCTAGCACCACAAAAATAAATAAAAAGGGCTGGTGATTTAGCTCAGTGGTAAAATGCTATTGGGTTTAATCCCCACTACCAACAAAATAATAATTTTAAAAAATTAAAACTTAGGTTCTTAGTCATGCACTTTTGGGACTTAAATTCTCTTTCTGCCAATTATTGATAACAGTGCCTACCCAAATAGATTGTTGTGCCAATTAAATGAGGCAACAATATATAAATACAATGCTGTATAAGATTGATAACTAGTAATGTGGTAAACATGAAGAGATGGCTGTGGGTTAGAAAGTGAATCAAAAGCAGAGACTACTTCTTCCCCTGCCCCCCTCCTCTATTTCGTAACCCTTCCCTTCCTGTTCATCTATTAAAGTATGAAATATATGCCCTTTCTGTCTTTAGCCTTCCACCCCCGCATATGACTATCTTGTGGGAAACAGACACCTTTAACAGCATATATTAATAAATAAAACTTATAAATTCATACTATAAACATATATAGTTATTAGCATTTAAAAGAAACTATTCTTGGGCTGGGAATGTGGCTCAGGCGGTATCTGTCTGGCATGCGGGCGGCCCGGGTTCAATCCTCAGCACCACATACCAACAAAGATGTGTCCGCCGAGAACTAAAAAAAAATAATAATAATAATAAATATTAAAAATTCTCTCTCTCTCTCTCTCTCTCTCTCCCCCCCCCCCCCTCTCTCACTCTCTCTTAAAAAAAAAAAAAAGAAACTATTCTAGGGCTAAGTGAAGGGGTACATAACTATAATCCCAGCTACTTGGGAAGCTGAGACAAGAGGATTGCAAGTTCAAAGTCAACTTGTGCAATTTAGCAAGACCCTGTCTCAAAATTAAAAAATTAAAAAGGACTGAGATACACATCAGTGGTAAAGTCCTTGCTTAGCGAGTACAAGGCCCTGGGTTCAATCGTAACACTGCAAAAAAAAAAAAAAGAAAAGAAAGAAAAAGAAACTATTTGGAGGTCTCTAGGAACTGTGGAAGTTTGATTCATTACCACAACATAATTTTGGGGTGGTCACAATTTTGAAACATTTCATTGTTCAGGAAAATTCAGTCATCCACCCATTGTAGGTGAGCATGTATTGTCTCAATCTTATGGATGATGGAATGGAAACAGATCATAAAAATCTTGGTTTTAAAGCTGAAAAGAATGAGACTGTGTAGTCCAACTTCCCCATTTCACAGGGGAAGAAATTGAAACTAAGAGAGGGGAATTGATCATAGCTCTATGAACCAAGATCATAGTTCTAGCAAGGGATTTCCAAACTCCCACTCAAGCACCTCATCTGCTATATCCTCTTATGCTTCCTTTATATGCTGGGTTTAATTTGAACCTTACAAACAATCGGAAATTTTGACCCGAGAACTAATTTGATATTAGACTACAGGCTTCCTAGGAAGCACTCTAACTTGCCATGTCCTTGGATTAAAAATGTGTTGACCAAGGATCCATAGACAGTGTCACTGTATCTGGTAACTCCAATAGAATGCTGATTTAGAGGAAACTGAAAATTCTTAGCCAATTCATGCTGTACTAGGATTTTAGCTCACACTCAAATTGTCCACATAATTCAAAGAAATCCTTGCAAATAGGAGACCTGAATGGGTCAAAATTTTAGTCTACAGAAGGAATTATTTCAAAGGGGTAAACTCCTTAAGTGAATGATGAAACTTCGTGGTGAAATTTTGTTTTTCATTAGATTGGAGGTACGACTCTGTCCAAGAATATGTCCCTCTCTATCTTAGTTTGGGATACTACAATAAAACACCACAAAGTGGGTGACTTAGCAAATAATTACTAAACAATACTAATTATTTCTTATAGTTCTGGAAGCTGGAAAGTCCAAGATCAAATTGTTTAGTGAGGACCTACTTTCTCATTAAAAAAAAAAAAAATTACAGACAGGCACCACTGCACCTGTCTGTAATTCCAGTATCTCAGGACCTGAGGCAGGAACACCACAAGTTCGAGGCCAACCTCAGCAATTTGGTGAGGCACTAAGCAACTCAAAAGAGATCCTGTCTCTAAATAAAATACCAAAAAAAAGGGGGGGGGAGGGAGGACTGGGGATGTGACTCAGTAAACCACCGTGTCAAACTAAAAAAAAAAAAAGGGTTGGGAATGTGGCTCAGTGGTTAAGCACCCCTGGGTTCATTCCCCAGTACCAACAACAACAACAACAACATAGTACCTTCTTGCTTTGTCCTCATGTGATGGAAGGGGCACAGCAGCTCTCTGTGCCTTTTTTTTTTTTTTTTTAATAAGGGAACTAATCCTGCTCACTAGAGCTCCACCCTCATGACCTAATCACCTCCAACACCCCACCTCTTAACATCATCACATGGGTATTAGGATTCAACATATAAATTTTTGGTATGTAGGGAGGACCACAAATATTCAGACTACAGCACTCCCCTAACCACTGTGCAGAAGGTGGCTAGCTTATTAGATATTAGGGAAGAACCCCCCCTTGCAATTAAATGCTTCTAGTGTAGRGATGGGATATGAAAAGGAAGAAATGAGGTGTTACCAAATTAGGAGACCCCCAAATGTGAATTTCCACCTGAGTCTGAGGGATTATTTATAATCCTTAAGGTTCTGCAACTTTGATTGGGTTTTATTGCAAAGAGGGTCAAGAGAAGAACTGGTAGAGAAGGCAAAGAGACAAAATTGCTGGGCACTACCTGCAGAAAGGAAAACTGACAGCAGTATTCCAAAAGGGCTTCTAGGTACCATGTAGAGCCAGGTCAGAAGCTGCCACTGCCTAGAACATGCATGAGACTAGCATATTCTTGGTATGAATTTCTCAGCTGGTGATCTTGTAGGAGAAATTTAAATGGATACCACTGACCCAGACCTGGTTCTTTCTTCTCATTTAGGAGTTGAAAGKCTAGGAGAAAAGTGATTCATCTCACCAGGACAGGCTAAATTGCCTCCAAACTTCCAAGTCCTTAAGACTCAGAATTGCCAAGACTAGCTAGAACGGTCTATGGTTATGTCAGAATGTAACTGATCCAGAGAATATACAGAGTCCAAATAGACATTAGGGAATGTTATACGATAATAGCAACTTGAAAATAGCTCAGTGGTAGAGTGCCCCTGGGTTCTCCCCAGTATCACAAGAAAAAAAAAATCACTAAGCAGAATTATCTCTGTTGCTATAGAAAGATAATCATGATATTCTTTATTCTTTTTCTTCTTTCTTTTCTTTTCTTTTTTTTTTTTTTTTTTGGTACCAGGGATTGAACCCACAGCTGCTTAACCACTGAGCCACATCCCCAGCACTATTTATTTATGTATTTATTTACTTATTTTTGAGACAGGGTCTCAGTAAGCTGCTTTGGGCCTAAGTTGTTGAAACTGGCCTTGAACTTGAGATCCTCCTGTCTCAGCCTCCCAAGGCACTG